CTAGAGCCCAGTAGAAGGCTGATAGGAGACTAACTCAGTGGCGGTAGAAATATTAGTCACCAGCACTGACCTCTTCCCAGCTCCTCTTGGTGACTGGCTGATTTGTTTTTATTTTAGAGTCTTACTCTGTTACCCAGACTAGAATGCCCTGGGGCGTCAGCCTAGCTCACAGTAACCTCAAACTCTTGGGCTTAAGCAATCCTCCTGCCTCAGCCTAATGAGTAGCTGGGACTACGGGAACACACCACCACACCCAGCTCATTTTTTCTATTTTTAGTAGAGATGGGGTCTTGTTCTTGCTCAGGCTGGTCTCAAACTCTAGAATTCAAGCAAACCTCCCATCTCGGCCTCCCAGCCAGCACGCCGGCCTGATCTGTTCTTAATAGGTGTGTTATTTAGGACAATGTTTCTCAAACTTTAATATGCCTATAAACCCCCTGGATATCATTTTGTTAAAAATATAGATTTTGATTCGATTAGTCTGAGAGGGATTTGAGATTCTGCATTTCTAAAAAGCTCCCATGTGATGGTGCTGCTGCTGTCCGTGCATGGTAGTTTGCGTAGCAAGGTCTTAGGATTTGTTGCACGTATCAGAGTCATCAAGTTAATAAAGGCTTAAATAAGACACAGGTTTCTCTTTCCTTTATGTGACCCTGCTCCTTGAAGTTGTCAGGGGCTCAGACTTCCATTATGCTGCTGTGCCGTATCTGACTTGTTGCCCTGGTCTGCAGTCTAAATTGGACTCAACTGGACTCATTTCTCTATCCACAGTTTAAGCAGCAGGAACAGGGAAGGAGGATGATATGCCCTTCCCTTTAAGAAACGATGTTCCTACTGCTTTGGTTAGAATTTAGTCACTTGGCCACATCTCTCTCTAAATAAGGCTGGGAAATGGTTTTTAATACCCATTTTATTCTGTTTTGGGTGCCCACTGAAAATTCCATTGCCAAGGAAGGAGAGAATGTATGTCAGGGAAGGCTATCGCTCTGTTGCAACTGAGGATAAAAGTAATAATAATAGCGTTATTGAGCACTTACTATCTGCCAGGGACAGCACCTTAAATGAAACACCTTGTCACAAAAAAAAATTTGGTAGGCACCATTATTATTCCCTTTTACAGATAAAGAAACTGAGGCTTAGAGAGGTAAGTTTCCTTAGGAGGTAAGCTTCCTCACAGTCATGCAGCTGGGTTAGACACAGGATTCAAATCCAGGCATTCTCACTCCAGAGCTGGAGTCTCAGGAGTAAGGAAGGACAGCCCATGGTGACAGCAGACAGGGCTGGGCAGTTTCTACTGTCAAGGCTCCCACAGCAGTGGACAGGGGGTGGACGACATTATGGGATGAAACTTTCCAGGATTAACTGTAAGCAAAGAATCTCATGGATTTCCACAAGAAAGGTGATGCTTACCTGAGAGAATTTACACCTTGTATTTTCAGAGGCAAGAGGAGGAAATGAAGACAGGACACCTGCCATTGGCTTTGTGAGTTAAGGGGTGTATCCCCGATTCCAGCTGTGTGACTGTCCCACCGGCTAGGTCAGACATGAGAGGTGGGTCATTCACGGCCTGCTGCTCTTCTGTCCCCTAAGCTTCAGCCTTCCCCCTACCCTCACAGGTAGCACCCTGAATACCTGGTGCACTTGCCCTAGCAGAGCCTCAGCTGGCCAGGACCAGACGTGGCCACTACTTTGTGTTGCAGTCACAAGTCAGAGGACATTTGAAAACTGGTTTCCTGGGGTTTGTTCTGTTTCCCCTCCTTCTTCTTTCATGAAAGGGGCTTTTTGTTAGCACAGTCTTTGTTTGGGGATTCGGTTGATAAAGGGACCATTCTATTGGAATGAATTACTGACGCAAGTGCTGCCAGAGGCCTTAGCGAGAGGACAGCACTCTGGCTTTCATTCAGCAAGGTGAATGAAGTAACTGCTGGGCGTTGGTCTCAAGGGCACTTTGGAGTTTGCTGCCATCAGCAACTTAAGAGAGTTTGGTTACTGGTTGAAGTAGAGAGTAGGGGAGACAGTCAAAAGAAAGTACTAGAGGTAATATTAATAAATTATAAGACTTTTCTTTTCATATATGAAAAATGTCAAATGGTCAGGAGCTGCTGGCCAGGAGTTACATAAAAGGAACTTTCTGCCTTTTATTAAATTGCTAATTCACTCCTAAGAATGGGGTCCCTGTAACAATGTGAGCTAATTCACTCCTAAGAATGGGGTCCCAGTAACAATGTGAGCTCATGTGAGCTTACCTTTGAAATAGGTAATCCTCTCTGCCAGCCAACCGAACGCTGGAGAAAAAAAGTCAAACAGCTACAAGTAAACCAGGTTCTCTCAGACTTTGCGGGACTCACCCAGACATGGAATATTTAGAGATACTTACAACTCTCTCATCTATTGTTTTGTTGAGATTCAAAAACCCACTATATTTAAAATCTGTTAGATGAATCAGCATTTCTCAGGAAATCTCTTCTAGAATATTTATATTTCCAAACAGTGGCATGGAATGTGGCATTTAAATGAAGTGACTGTGAATTCTTCAGAACTCAAGGAAATCATTAAGGGCTAAAGTTAACAGAAATTTGGGTAAGAGAAGATAGTCCTTGATACTGTGTGAAGGTATCTAACACCAACCAGTTTTAAGTGACTGAACTCCAAGTACTGATAAGGAAACAGGAGCCCATGGCAAAGCTGCCCGTGGGCCAGCTTGGGCAGTGTTGCACAGATTCCAGCTCCTTCAAAATGGCTCTTCTCTGAAAAGCAAGGCCAGCCAAGAGTGTCCAGTCTCTTTTGCACTTGAAAAACAACACGCACTTGTTTTAACAAAGGAAGACAACTCATCAAAATGTGTATCTTAAATATATGAGGCTGTTTATATGCCAATCATACTTTAATAAAGCAGTTTTTTTTTCTGAAAGGGAGACAAGTTTCTTAGTCCTTAAAGCAAAGATCTTAAGATCTAGCCTGCTTATCTCACAATTAAGATGGTGTGGTATCCTTTAAAAATGTGTCAATTTGAGGTGGTGACATTACCAAGCAAGGAGAATAGTTTCCTATGTGGCTGGCAGAAGGGAAACATCTGGCTGTTTTTTTTTGTTTTGTTTTGTTTTTGAAACAGAGTCTCACTCTGTTGCCTGGGCTAGAGTGCCGTGGTGTCAGCCTAGCTCACAGCAACCTCAAACTCCTGGGCTCAAGCAATCCTGCTGCCTCAGCCTCCCGAGTACCTGGGACTACAGGCATGCGCCACCATGCCCGGCTAATTTTTTCTATATACTTTAGTTGGCCAATTAATTTTCTTTCTATTTTTAGTAGAGATGGCGTCTCGCTCATGCTCAGGCTGGTTTTGAACTCCTGACCTTGAGCGATCTACCTGCCTCGGCCTCCCAGAATGCTAGGATTACAGGTGTGAGCCACCACACCCGGCCCATCTGGGCTGTTTACAGGCAGAGTTTCTAAGTACAAAACATCCCTGAAGCTCCTCTTTAAGTTCACCCTCACCCCTCCTACTATTCATTCACACAGATTCTACACACCCTCTATATTACAACTGTAACTAAACATTTCTGTTACATTTCCACAAGTAATATTTATCTCCCCACTTTGCTAATATTAATGAAAGCTGAGACAACTGGAAGATGTTTATGTGGGAGAGAATTTGCTTATATCAAAAATTGCCATTGTTCTTTGATTTTCTAAACTTGGGGTTTTTTGTTTTTGTTTTTAATAAGCTAGTCCCTTACTTTAAGCCTTATGGGAAGAGAGAGAATGACCAGGATGCTAGAACTGGGATCAGCTCCTAATTCAACTATAGTGGCTGCAGCGTTTTCCATTAGTGATGGTACTTCTCAGAGGATTTATAACCTTTACAATAGGCAAAGATGCACCTCCATTGGCCACGGGCCAGTACTCCCACCAGAGTTCAGTTTTTTTTGAAGAAAGCAAAGGGATGAGTTTTATCTTTCCACATTCTCTGCAGAATCCTTCAAACTATGCTTAGGAGCAACAAGAGAAAGTCTAGTGTTTCATTAAGTGAGTCCAGTCTTGTACTGAGAGGACACTACTTTGTCATCCAGAGTGCCAAACATTTTTTTCCTCTTGAAAAAACACCCCTGAAGGAGGCCTATGAAAACACCTGTCAACTAATAGCTAAATAAGTGGCAGGAAATTTTTTAATTTTTTTGAGACTGATTTAGATACTTTGTAAGTTAGATAAAGGACACTGTCATCTAAAAAGTGTATATTCTGCATCTTTACAATCTGGTCTTTTTGAAAAAAAAAAAAGAAAAAATATTTATATAAAAAAAATTTAAAAAGTGTATATTCTGCCAGCATTTCTCTGGACATGACCCTGCCTAGATGCAGACAAACACAGGAAATACAGCCTGTCACTAAAATAAACAGGGAAAGTTAGAGTTTTCCAACTCCGTGAACTAGAAGTCCTATTTTTATTCCCCACTATCACGACAGTGGAAAACACAAAAAAATAATGCTTGCTTTGACTTTGTATTACCTTCCGAATAGTGATGTTGAAAAGCTGAGTTAATCAATTAAGTCATTAAAATTTTTATTTTGGTTATAATTGAATTTATTTTTAAGAAACTTCTTCTATTATTGGCAACCCTATACTATTGGTAGAAAATTATACCATATAATCAGAACTCCAAACTATGGGAAAAAAACTATTATTAAGGGATGTGTTAGTTTTTCTTGTTACTATTCTTAAAAAAACAAAAAACCCAACCCTCCAACAATCCACATACCTTTACTGCATTCAGGTCTTCAAAATTATAAATCTACAATATGGGATTCTCAGAAGCAGCAGTATCAGTCAACTATTATAAGAAGTGCTTATTTGAGGTGCTTTAAATTAAAACAGGAAAGAAATCAATCTTTTAGCAAATTTAAATTTACAAATTTGGACCTGATGTATCTGTCTTTAGTGGTCTGAATTAAAGCAATAATGTACCAATTAAGCAAAGTAAATCAAGATACCTCAAAAAAGGTGATATAGTAAGAAAATGTCAATTTAATCATTTACTTTAGCAGGCAAGCAATTTGTAAACATTCAGTAGCGGCAGCATCCAAGTTACAAACAATTTAAAAAGAACCAAGATTAGTGATTTTAATTTTTCCTTCCCTTCCCCCAAAAGAAAAAAAGAAAAAAGAATTGGAAATGAATGACTTAAAACCCTACAAACATTGAACATTCAGTTACGTCTTCTATCAGCCTTCTATGCATCATCCTCTGTGTTTTATTTTAAAAGATGTATCTACTCCTAAAATGCATTATCTTGCAATAACTTGTACGTGAGCATTTGCAATTTAGGAAGTTGTTCCTGCACATGGCTGTGCACGCACTATCTCAGTTTAAATCCCATTTGCAAAGGGAACATTTATGTCTTGGTTCAATGCTTCTTTGACTTCGAGTGGCAGGGTGTCAAAAAGGTGATCTTCCACAACAAGCCCGCTTTTCTTGAGCATTCGACACTGGCCCAGCTGGGCTGGCAGGCGGTCCAAGCAGTTCCCCTTCAGCTCCAGCTGAGTGAGCTGGGAGAGCTGACCAATCTTCTCTGGGAGGGAGGTGATGCAGTTTTGCCCCAGGTTCAAAGTCCTCAACTTGACACATTTAAACAACTGTTTTGGCAGAATGTCCACTTTGTTCCCAGTGATATGCAAATGCTGCAGGTTCTGAAGCAATCCTATATCTATTGGAATCATTGAAATGTTGTTGTAGCTTACATCTAAGCATCTGAGTTTCTGTAAACTAAATACTGCCACTGGTAAGGATTCGAGCTTGTTGTTAGAGAAATAAAGTGACTCCAAATTTTTGACATGGGTGATGGAGGGAGGAATGGTAACAATTTTGTTATGCCATAACTTTAAACAAGTCAGTCGTTTTAAATGCTGGAAACTGATGATTTCTTCAATTGTGCGTATGTTATTTGACTTTAAATCCAGTTCCTGTAAATTAGAGAGGCTGAAAATAGCATGTGGAATTCTCTCTAGTTCACAGTTCTGGAGTTCCAGCTCGGCGACATTCATCATTTTCTTAAGGCTGTTCAGTACCAAGAGTTTAGTGCCGTCATTATGAATGACTAACTTTGTAAGATGCGGAGCTACATCTGTGATGTTGGAGGGAACTTTGGTCAAATTGCTCTTCACGTGGAGAATCTTAAGGTGCCGCAACTCTCGGAGAGATTCAAGTCCTATCATCTTGTTGTTTTCAGAGTTCAAGTTGCCTATCAAGTACAGCTCTCGAAGGTTTTTCAGCAAATACACCCAGGCAGGAATTTCAGCCACATCAGTGAACTTCACGTGAAGGCATCTCAAGTGATCACGAAGAAAGCTAAAAGCAGTCTGTTCAACTTTTGCAGGGCAGTGGCAGAGGTGGAGCTCTTGGAGATTAGTCATTTGAGAAATCTTAGCAGGAATTTTAGCTTCTGGAATCAGTTCAAGCTTCAACACATCCAAGTCTGTGAGGTCAAAGACAGCATCGGGCACTCCCGACAGCATGAACAGATGTAACTCCTGCTTGTCCTGGGCATTGCGTGATACGTGCTGCCTGAGTTTTTCAAATGTCCACTCGTGGTTCAAACTGATTTCCCTAAGTTTATTTTCACTCACTTCTGACAAGAACACACCAAAACGCTTGGAATATAGCTGGTCATACTGGTCTACCATGTGTAGAAGGAACGCAAAATCGTTTTTGACATCTGGAATGTCACTGAAACTGCTCTCTTCTCTGACCTTTTCAAAAGAATATTCCTTCAAAGGTATCCTGAATAACCAAAAGAGAGTATAGAGGCAGATAAAGCCATAAACACAAATAATGGATATGTAACTGATGAGAAGCTTTTTCAGCATGTAAGCCATGTTGTGGGTGCACTCAAACACCTCATAACCGGTCAGGTGCTCAACTTTTGGCTTGCAGACGTGTTCAAAGCTGATTGCGTTGACAAAGTTCGCAGTATAGCAGAGAATAAAAATGAACTTGGCTGTTTTGATAACTGTTTGGACCACATAGAGTTTATAGATCAAGTCACTATCTTCCACATGGGCACGGAACTTCCTGACTTTCTCAAACAGGGCTTTGGCCTGTTCTCCATCTTTTTTATCCAGGATGGTCATGCTGGGAACCTCGATCACAGGCTTCTCTGCTGAAAATTTGAAGCCGGTTTTGTTGATCATTGGAGTACTGGCACTGGGGCTCCCTTCATCACTGCTGGTAGACACGTGCTTTGGTAGGGTTTGGGCACCTGTTATTCTCTGCTTGTTTTCCTCTGAGTCTTCACATGCTGTCTCAGACAACGCTTTTGTAGTCCAAGGGGATTCAAAGCACTTTCCTAATATTGAAACAAAATGTTCTACTTTTGAGCATGTTTTGGGATATTTGAACCAAAAGTTGCTACTGACCATGAGAATAATAGTATGGATAAGAGCAAGGTATGGAAAGTATTTAGAATACCATGGAAGGGCCAGATGGTAACACATCTGATTAATAAATACATATTGCTGAAAATCCAAGTTTGTTTTTCTGCCTGTTGGATCTTTCTTCTCTTTCTTTGCCTCCTGATTTGGAACTGTGAAATCTGTGCGAGGATATGTGGCTCTGAGAGGTATGTCAGGTGTCACAGAAGATGCGCCAAAGGAAATGTCATTTGTTGTCCGCCCATCTTGGTCTTGGCTGGTGGCTGCTTCTATCTTCGGGATGTCGGTGGCGACATCGGCATTTCCTGGTGGTGTGTGTGCCTTTGAATTTACAGGAGATGGCAATACTGGCAAGCAGACCACCTGATCTTTGGTAAGTTGCATGGTTCCTGCAAAGATGGCTACCATCAACATAACAACAGCCAGGTAATCCATAAACACATCCCACCATGGTTTCAGGATTCGGTAAGTTGGCTGAATGTCATTAAGTGATGCAACTTCTGCAAGGGTAAACATTCCTAGAAAACAAGAAAACAAAAGACAGTATTACAGAGATGCAAGTGAAAACAGTAAATAAGAAAAATCCTATGCCTGCTCCAAATTAAAGTTTTCTTATCCAGGTCCTATCCTTTTATTCAAGATAAGAGTGTAGTAAGAAATAAACTAAAAGGAACATTTATGATGGTCATTTGTTTCTAGTAGCTTTTCTCTCCTCAGTGTAAGAAAAGAAAAAAAAATGAGTAAGAATTGTGTTCTAGGTAAGAAATGATGATAGCCTGATCAAAGTCTATGGTGGTTACTGGACCTTGAAACAGGATGACAGCAGGATGGCACTGGTTGTGGACTGACTTAAGGTTAAGACTGAAGTTCTGGAGTATGAGGATGGGATGACTACTATTTTGTATAAGTCAAAATTGAAGGGCCTGTGTACCCTGTTAAACTCTGGATTAGCCTTTATATTCCAGACTTTGTTCTACCACTTACTAATAGTGCGATTTCCTAAGCCTTGTATTTCCCATTTGTATTACAGAGATGAAAATGTCTAAGAGTCCTTGGAAAGGTCAAATTAAGTTAATGATTGTAAAGCTCTTAGCACACCCTCCGGCCACAAGTAAGTACTTGTTAGCTGTTTATGTTTGTACTAATCACCCTGGTGGAAGTGTCCACGGACAGTTGAAAATTAAGGGTCTAGACCAGGGGTCCTCAAACTTTTTAAACAGGGGGCCAGTTCACTGTCCCTCAGATAGTTGGAGAGTGCGCACTGTGGGCCTGGAACGAGTCGGCTGCTAAGCAGGATAGGCAGTGGCAGCAAAAACACCCAGAGAGCCAGATAAATGTCCTCAGCGGGCGGCATGTGGCCCGCGGGCCATAGTTTGAGGACGCCTGGTCTAGACTTTAAGAGATATCTTAGTATGCACACTTGGGATTTATCAATATATGTAGCTGAAACTCTGGCCCTCGATTCAGTGCCTATGGAAAGCATGTGGATTGACTGAGAAGACCCAGGAGGGCATGAAGTAATCAGCGATGTCAAATGATGCCGCATAAGTCAGGGCTCGAAGACCTTTGATCTTCACCAAAGCAGGTGACCCTAAAAGCAATGAAGGGAGCCCTGATGCCAGGACAGATGAAAATGTGGTCACCATTTACTATCACCTGGCAACTTTATAGTATTGGAACTAGTGTCTACAAATAATAAAGTATGAGGGCAATCATTCTGAAGGAACCAAGGAAAACCACAGTGTGTAGAGTGGCAAGTAATAGGAATGGACTTCTATAATCATGTCCATGAACCAAATGTTTATCTTTTTGAATTTTAAAAGAGCATTACTACATTCTGCTTCCTCAGGAGGTTCTCAGGGTTCCAATATTCATATATAAAATGACTCATTTCTTTAAAAAACAGAACAATAAAAGGCAAGGCAAGGACCCAAGATTCTGAGAATGCATTTAATTTTTCACAGGAAGGATGAAAGATAGATTTTTTATCTATTCATGCAAAAGTTGCCTGAAATGCTGTGTTGAGGAGCATTCTGGGCTGACTCTGGCTTCAGTAGGAAAGTGTTGTGACTGATTACTAGTGTCTTTTCTAGATGACATGATGGATAGAGGTGATATTAGTACTTCAATTCTGTGCATATGTTTGCGTGTGCGCGCTCTCTCTCTGCTTTAAATTAAACTGAAAATAAGGACCTGTTTTTATTTTTTCCAAAATACATATCCTTCCACATATCTATTACTGTATAGAGCAGGTATATATCTTAATAAAATACAGTTAAAATTTATTCACTTATAATAGCAATTCCCACATCTGTAGTTAGTTTAATTGAAATATCTCATGTAAATAGGTAGATGCAAGCCTAAGAACTCCAAATATAAAATTGTTAGAAATCACATGCCCAGACTTCAGGGCTTAAGTGTGAAATGACTGGTATCCTGTCTTAGTTAAAAAAAAAAAAAATTACCAAAGAAATAAAGGAAGGAAAAATAAATATCTGTACCTGTGCAGGAGAAGTGGAAGATAATATGCCTACTTGAACCCCTTTTATTCTGAGCTCCTGTATTTTGTGTGGGTTTTATATTCATGACTGGCTTGGGAATTTAAACAGGAAGAAAGGGTACTAGAATCACAGCAAGCCAAACCAAAGGAGAAACAGCTCAACCTCAGGTCATTTGGGCTCTTCAGTGCCTATCTAGAATGCACAAAACACAGCACTGAGCCACAGGTTACAGAGTGACTCTTACTTCCTGTACAAAGAATGGAGAATACATCTCGCCTACGTTTATTCCTGACCAAGAAATATGGTCACAGCCAGGGACAATGGTTTTAAAGGGTTATTTGCCTGGGTAACAGAAAAGAAATAGATTTTTTTGCACATAACATTTATTTCTAATAGGATTTTTCTTTACTCTTCTAATACAATCATGCACCACATAATGACATTTTGGTCAACAATGGATTGCACATATGATGGTGGTACTGTAAGATTATAACGAAGCATAGAGAGAAACCTGACATACAGCACTAGATATTGGCATTGCATATTAAGTAGGAGAAATGAGGCTGGAGCATTTAGTTTTCCATATGAAAAAAATATATAAGTAAAAATATATATACCATCTAGGTTTGTGTAAGCACACTCTGTGATGTTTGTCCCAGTGATGAAATAGTCAAACGAGGCATTTCCCAGAAGGAACCTCTGTGGTTAAACAACACGTAACAGTAGTTGTATTGGGTTCTAGAGAAGCCAAGATGTTTGATTTGGAGGATGGAGGGGAAAGTGAATGTTGAAAGTCACTGTACTAAGAACACTGGTTACTTGTCTTTCATACCTTGCTTATTACTACTGGTTTCCCTGCCTCCGGTTTTGACCTCTTCCAATCCATCTTCCACCCTGCTGCGGATCTTTAGGCTAAACCTCCACTCCCCTCCTCTCCTGACTCTCCAAGCTCTAAATGGGTAACTTCTTCCAGTATGTCCAACAGGCCACTCTCTCCCTTGTGTTCAGCCACTCCTAGACTTTCTTCCCTCTGCTCTGAATACTTCCTCCAGACCCGCCCCCTTCACTAGGCTCTCAGTTTCGCTGGCCTTTCCCAGAAAGCCTTCCCTGACCCCAGTCTTGGGGGAAGTGCTTCTCCCAAGTGCTCTCCCAGGGCTCTGTACCTCCACCCACCACCGTCCTTACCATACTGTGTTTACTTGTTAAAGCTGCCACTAGCTTATCAACTCAATGGGGACAGGGACCACGTCCATCTTCCTTCCTGGTCCTATATATCCAATGCCTGACACATAGTAGATGCTCAATCAACAAAAGAATGTATGAGATCTTGATCATCACCTTTGGCATCATAAAAATTCCTTGAGGACATTTATTAACTGTATACATATGGCACTGAGCAGAATAGTATTTTATTAAACTGAATTGCTACCACAAAGCAAACTGGGCCTATGTAAGAATAAAAACTCTAAGCCAGGTCTTGGCATAAAAATAAATAAAGGACCACACAGCAGAGAAATTGTTGGATCCTTGTAACCAGCCATATCCTGCAGTTGTCAAAGTTTCAATGGTGGTTTTCAAGCATCTTGTACTTGAGGATGGCTTTGATCCCAGGAGAGAGAAAAGGCTGATCATTTCCCAGTGGAGGAAGAAAAAGATAAAAGGTAGGGGGCAGAGAACACAGCAGTAGAATACTGTAACTTCATACATGGCTACCAGCTTGGGCCCCCATTCCCTGCAAGCAGGATAACAGCAGGTAACAGAACAGAATGAAACAAACAACTCCGGCCTCAATGAGCTCCTCTCCTCCAGCACGTTGTCTACTCTGCCACCCCTACCCAGAGTTTTATGCCCTTGCCATTTCCTACAGCCATTTCTCTTTTTCATTTCTGTCTCTTATTTATTCTCTAAGTCCCAGCTCAAACACTATCATTCCTTCAAATTCCAATCATATTGTCTAATCATGACAATGTTTCTTCTAATCCTGGTCTCTTCAACTAGATCTTGAGCTCCTGGTGGGCAGAGACTGTCTTATTCCCCTTTGCATCGACCATGCTCTACTCTCACCCCTGAAGAACACAGAAGGCATTTAATGATAATAATGACGATGTTACTAACAGTAGTTACTGTTTGTCACCATCATTCTGTATACCGAGCGCTGCTCTAGGAGCTTTACATCTGACATAATCCCCTGCTTTTGTACAGAGCACGTTCCTGAAAATGAATGTAGGAACGTTTAGTTTCAGATTTGGGAAGCTACGGGAATGGCTCCACTTCTAAAATGCTATATGATGTTACAAAATCCACCAGAATTAATTCCAAAAATTAAAAAGACAAACAATACCAAGTGCTTGTGAGGACGTAGGAGCAACTGGTCTCTTAAATACTGCCAGACGGAGTGTGAATTTCTGTAACCACACTGGGAAACTTTTTGGTATTATCTACTGAAACTGAACATACGCATACTCTATGACCCAGTAGTTCCATTGCTAAGTATATACCTGTTAGAACTATGGTACATATTCATTAAAAGACATGTACGAGAATGTCTGTAGCAGCATTATTTATAATAGCCCGAAACTAGAAGCTATCCAAAATGCTTATCAAGAGTAGAACGGAAAAATATAAAACATGATATACTTAAAAAAATGGAATATTGGGCAGCAATGAGAATGATATGGTTACAAGGGTGTGTTGAATTTATAAAATGTGGTCTGTACACTGAGGCCTTTTTTGGTATGTATGCTTTCACTTCCACAAAAAGTTAAAAAAAAAAAAAAAGTAAAAGAAGCTGCAGCTGAAACAGCTGCCCTAGGAATGTGCTGTGGTAGCAGTGAGGCTTTGCCTCTGCCCTGTCCCAAGGCACATCTAGGGTGGCTGGGGTCATAGGTCAGCCAAGCCTGTCCCCTCCCCTCGCCATCCATCTCCCCAGCCTGAGAGAAGGGGCCTCCTCTCCCTGGGGTACAAAGGACTGATTCTGTCATAGAAGAGGGCACAGAGGTAGGAACATACAATGTTCG